TAATCTTAGCAAATGTTCTTTATTTGAAGTCCAGTTTTCTAACATGTTTAACAGATCCAACATAGTCTGCAACTACAGCTCTTAACAGATGTGAGCGTGCATGCATAGGTATACACACACACACACACACACACACACGCACACACACACGCACACACACATGCACACAAAATTTGTTACATACATATTGAGAGCCAACCTGAAACAAACAGAATTTGCCTCATTGCTTCAAACTGCAGAACTGTGACAATACTAACAACAGACAATGATCCTAGTGTCTTGCCAAATTTTTACCCCCTATGCTTTATGGGATTCTGTCATAAATCCAGTATTTTCACAGAACAAAGAAATAAAATAGAATCAACAATCTATTTAGCTACCTCAGATGCTTGACTCTTAGGAAAATCAACTGTGATGAGAAAACAGCAGTTTTTAAAATAATAATAAAACTCTCTGGAAAAACTCTAACATTTTTCTCAAACTTTTCTTGCCAAAATGCTTATGAGAAAGGAAGAAGATTGCATGTCCCTTGCCTTCAGGTGTTTCTTTGTTCTAATATACAGACATATCAATGGTAATAGATGCCTGTGCCATGACTACAAATGGGCTGACCCATTACTATCTAGCCTGACATGTGGCTTGTAAACAATAGTAGGAACTGAGTCCATAGAAAATATGTCACTCTTGCCAGCCTGCCACATTGTTTGACCTGGGAAATCAAGACAAACTGCTACTTGGTTAAAAATACCTACTGCTTGGTTAAAAATAAGAGGCCTTTGAATACTCTCTCTCTGAACTTTCCACCAAGGGTTGACTTTTGTCATTTTGGCACATCTTTTGAGGTCTCAATATTGCTTAGCCCTTATGTAGTACTTTTCATACTTAAAGAGTTGTACAGTAATGAAACTGGCTCAGACCAGTTAATAAATGAAATGCAAAGTTTGTCTTATTGCAGATACGAGCATCCTACCACGCCCTAGCACAGGACCTTGCTTGTGATGGAGGGAAGACAGTTATCACAGCTGCCTCAATCCAAGGTGTCTGGAAGGAAGCATTATCTCAGTTCTTATTTAACTCTAGGGTACCACTGACTGCAGTACCTTACACCTGGGCTGAATCTGTCCCTTCTATTATTTGGATATTGTATCTTCTGCAAATCCCTCACAATTAGCGACTCAGCCTTTCCACCAAGCAACAGACATTTAAAAGGATGCAGCTCACTGGAACACTCTAAAGATTGTTTCAAGGCAGAAATGATAAAATCAGTTCAACTGTGTTTGCAAAAAGTATTCCACAATACTGCAAGGGGATAAGGATATTTGCAGAACAGGATTTGTGCAGAAGGTTCCTTCTGCTTCTAATAAAATGCACATGCTATGTCCAGCATGTTATTATCACGGAATAAAGGGATGTTTGCATGAAGGCAACTACATGTTCAGAATCATTTATTATTTTTAATTCTGGTAGAGAAATTTCAGTGTTTAAAAGGATTATATATATGATATTCTGCCTAGCAAGAAGGTAGAATACCTTTATTGTTACGTTACTTATCATGCTACAATGCCCGAATTTATCAAGTAAGTGTTTTAATGTCAAGTAAGTGTTTTAATAGATGTGAAAATATGTCAGTGGACATCTGGAACATGTTTTATTTACTGGCACAGCCATACTCACCACTTGCCTGAACAAGATCAACTCCATTGTTTAACCAACAGTGAATCTGGTATGCCAAGTTTGCAGCTTACCTGAATTACAAAAGGATCTGATGGACTGTGATGCTGGATTCAACAAAAAGTTTTTAATTCCTACTGACTTAATAGGGAGTCAAATAAGGGCAGGTTTTCATTATTTATAGTATTTATATTGCTCATCTTTATGCACTGATGGATTAGATTATAGTGAGTTAAATTTGGTTTATAAACTACAGCAATTTTTTTCCTTCTGTTAATCTTGTATGGGTTGGCTTGCTTGCATTTAAATGAGGGGATGCACTATATACGCCTGTTTTCTCATGGTTCAGGTTTTCCCATGAAACCTTGTGTTTAAAGTTAAGCATGCACATCAATAGGTTTAAAGTTAAGCATGTACATCAATAGGTTGTTTCTTAAAGGTAAATGTTCAGTCTGCATAGAACTGCAGGTGGAATGGGGACAAACCAGGAAAAAGGACATAGAACACAGAACTAGAATGCTTCCTGTACCACTGATTCCCAGACCTGTTATCATGCGCAACCCCACAAGAAAGGGCCACTAAAGGGCTACTAACAAAAGTAGCAAACTCTAGAAGAAAGACAGCTAAGCTGTTTGCCTCCACTACTCTCAAAAAAGAACAATGCTAGATTATCTAGTCATCACAAGTCTGTTACTGGCAAAAATTTAGTGGCAGGTAGCTTATACGCATTTGCCCTTGGGAGAGTACCCTTTAACTCACAAAGTTCTTCTTCCCTCATTTTTACCCTCATTTATAGTGAGCTATGATACATTCTCTGAAACCACATCTGACTGATCTAAGCAAGAAACTTTCTGGTCTATATTCATGGTCTTAACATTTCCTTAACCATTTAAAGATCCTTTTTTCTGAACGTCTTTCTCCCAGCGTGTATTACTCTTTCTTCACTGTGACAGAGTTTTCTCAGTACTTCAGACAAGGTGTCAGCACTGCCTTATACAGTTGCATGCATATTTCCCTTTAACCTACTTGAAAGACCACCTATAGCCCATCAGAAGTATTTTTGGTTTTCACAATGACATCCTAATAGCGGCCTTCAGCTATCCCGTGATTGAAAACTGACTAAAACAGCCAGATCTTTCACTTGATCTCCTGTCAGCAGCTGATGGGCCTGTTCTTACTGAAGAAATTCTTACTAGTCTCTCAGTCCCTTGCCCTTTGTGCTGTTAATCTTCATCCTACCTCTACTAATCTAGTCTTTTGTTAATTGAGTCCTTACTTTATGGCAGCCCAGCCCTACAGTGCATTAAAGATACCTTGTCATCAGTGTATTTCATTAATCACTTGTATTTTTGCACATAACCATTAACAGAAATGATAAATGCAGTCAATCCCTAATGCGCTCCACAATCACACAATTAATTTTCCTGCAGCCTGAGCATTCTACGGTAAGTACCATCATTTTTGTTGGTCTTTATTTTCTTCTATTTTTCCTGTATTATCACACTTTTTAAAAATTAATAATTTCCCATATAACAACATGTCAAGCACTTCACTGAAATCCATATGGATCCACTTAACTGCAATTCTCTTTTCTAGAAAATCTCATATTTTAGCAAGCAAGAATACCATGTTCATTTGGCACAATCTATCTTCGGTAAATATTTCTTCTGTTTTCATATACTTGTATATTTGTCTAACTTCTATTTCTTTCCAAAAAAACGCTGAATGCTTGCAGGCAATTTAGATTATGCTAATATACCTCTGTTGATCACTTTTCTCCTTAAAGATAGCTACTTCATTTTCTGTTCTTTAGTCATATGGTAATGCCATCTGAATTGATAAATGCATTAAAATTCTTGTTACTGTCTTTATGATTTCAGTTACTGGATCTCCTAGTATTCTTTTTACTTGAGAGCTGAATACTTTCACTTTGCTTTCATCTTGCATGTGCAAAATTCTGTTTCCATACCCGTTCTCATTAACCATCTTGGTTCTGCCTCCATGTACTACATCATTATCTTTACTGAAGCTGAAGTAAATACTCAGTGAGGTAGTTTGGGGTGATTTCTAGATTATCTTTAATCACAACCATATCTATACTATATAAGGTATCCATTTCTTTCTTAGTGTGGATGTGGCCAACTTACCTTTTCACTATTTGCTTGAATTTCCTTTGCAGGGTCTAACTCAGCTTCACTTTTGACATTTTCACCTTTCCTCTAGGCTTTCTCCCTGTCAAAATATTTATTCTTTTTCCATTCTCTGTAGGTGCTCTGTTGACACATAACATTAAGGGTGTCTCTGTTAATTGTGAATAAAGAGATTTCCTACAATTTTTCCCTTTGCTTAGGATGAATATTTCAGATAATTTCTGCAGCACTGGCTTAAAGATACTCCAACTGCCTTCCACAGTTAACTCATTCAAATACTCAGGAACAATATGTGTTCATAATTCAAATCAACTGACTAGTACCAACATTTTAAAATTAATATTTCAGCCACTTTTCTTCAGCAGAGCTTGGCTTCTCATTGAATAATACTGTTACTTGTACAGCACTTGAAACAAACTAAGCACTTAGTAAATAAATGGGCAATGATTCCCTAGACCAAAGATCTTAAAATCTACAGGGAATAATTATAGAAAAGGAGGAAGTAAAAAGTATGAGAATGGGCAATGAAACAGCACATTTTACTTAGCGCTTAAGACTTTTTAAAATTTCTGTAATCCGAAGTAGAAACACAGGAAAAGAAATTAACTTATTTTTACTGTATAATCTGGAGGCTCCTCTGGCTGTTCCAGGCAGTAAGTCACAACTGAAAATAAAAAATCTCAGTCATCCAGTCTGTTCCGTGAAAGTCAGTCTAATATTGAAAGAGAAGCACATAATTCCATTAGCAGCATAATAGAAAAAAATGTAATGAATTTTTTTATATCAAATCGTTCATCAAGGTCCAGCTACAAATGGAGGGGGAAAAAAACTCACTGTACAAACCTTACTAATGTACAATGAGAGACAGACCTGCAATGTCAAGACCAGATGATTTTTGTGTGTTTTCCTGAGAGCCACCACGAGAGGGCCATGTGCCAGCAATCTTGCAAATCCTTACAAACTGTCTCCTGCACAGCCTGCTCTCTTAATTTGTTGTGGTTTCCAAACAATACTGTCCTAATTCGCCTTTCATTCACAAATAACACAATATTCCTATAGTGGGAAATCTAATGATGGCTTTTCTTGTGGCTTCAACAAGAAGGTATGCATTTAATTAGGCATCGAGAAACATGCTCTCGGAAACAAATGAATTTGAAGTTTCTCTTTTCTTCCCCGCAGGGCTTTTCCCCTTTGCTCACCCTTGTTGACAGAAGGAAGCAGCAGTGGCCAGCTCCATTCCCCACCGCAGGGCACCAGCTAGTGTAACTGAGCAACAGGAGATTGTAAAGTGAATAGCACTAGAAAAGCAGGAAGGTAAGCAGGATGACCAAAAAAAAAAAAAATCTCTGTACAAGATCTGATCTGAAAAAAAATCTCTCTACAAGAATCAAGAAGAAAGAAGATATGATTCTATGACAACATAGATGCTGAAGAGAAAATCAGCAAATTGCAACTGGTTACACTGTAAGATTAAATCCTAATCCAGCCGCAGAACGATGCATTGGTCAATCTGGCTCTAACAGAAAATAAAGCCTACTCAGATCCCTTTTCTCCCCCAAATAAGTTACTATGGCCGAAATAAAAAAGGCACGAGATGCTTACCTGACCCTGCCACAGCTATACACTTAGCAAAGTGGCTACTAAAATGGTGGTGTGACTAGCCTAGGTCTTGGTTTCTCTGAGACAGCAAGGGCCTGCAGTGTAAGAACCTTCTGAGATTTTTATATCAACTGTGGTATCTTCTCCAGAATCCTCTTCCTAACCACCCTGCTCCAACTCGAGCAGCCCAGAGATGGCTGTGGTCCTTCTCTATCCTTCAGATGTCTCTGTGAAGGGAAAAATGCAGCTGAGTCAGTCCTAGGTTGTCTCTGGTGACAGATTACACTGCTGCCATTTCCCCTACAGGCATTTGCATTTCAGAATCAAAAATTATAGCTCTGTGTGAGGAAAGTTGGGCTAGACTCTCCTTTGGTAATCTATGACCAAACAGGACTTTTGACAGGAGAGCACCAAACAGGATGGCTTATCAGCTGCTGGCAAATGTCCTTCTGCTGCTTGAGTGGACAAAGGAGCAACACTTATGGACTGCTAGAGCTGTTGCTCCAACAGTTTCACTCACTTTGGTGGGGAATAAACCAAACCACACACCATGAAAAGTGTGTTTACATCCCTAGGTCTCTGAGTCCCGCGTTGTTGAAATGCCAGCTCACAGACAGAGCTCTGTCTCCTAAACAGGGTGACCTGCCTGTGGATGTGGGAGGCTGCCAGTGTGTGGCAGGAAAGCACCTGGACATTTCCCAGGCTACCATCACAAGTAGCGGAGGAGAATTTGGGAAGCAGGGCTTCAGCCAGCCTGCAATACCATTAGTATACAGGGGAAGTACATACATGGTTTAGGAACATGATTACCTCACACAATGCAATTGGCATCTGCTTGTCGTTAACTTTATGCCAGAAATATCTCACAGACAAACTTAAAATCAAAGACTAAGAAAACAAGTTTGGCGTCCATGTCTATTTCCTCCCAACGTGCCACTACGAACACTGAGCTTAGGTGGCTGATTCTGACTCAGCTAGCATTACAATGTGTTGTCACTAGATGGCGACTGATTCCTTCCTACTGTGCAAAGTATCAAAACAATTTCTCAGAACAGGAAGAGAAGGCAAAAGTTGAAGTTTCATTATACTGTAGCATAATACCATTTGTCAAATAATATATTATAGGTTTATCTCCAGGTCTTAAGTACATGGGTAAGATCTGAGGATCTGATTGGTAATTTTTTTATTTGCGAAAGGTATTTCCATTGTTACAACAATATATAAAACTGGTCACACAATATCTTCCCTTCTTATTTGTAAATCCTGATTATTTTTGTCAGCATCAGTATATTGTTTTCAGTCAGAAGCATAGTCTTATTAAATACAAATGATGAATGAATCAATTAAGCATGAAGCTAATTCAATCGCAAAGTTTGGTCTGTGCTATCTGTATTCTTTTCCCCTTGCAGTTACAATTTCCATGAAAATCGAACAAGAGGATTTTTAAAACATATTGCCTTTGTCTGTATATATGTAAATGCAGCACTTAAAACTTCCAAATGTTTGAAAATTGTACTTTCCAATTATTTTACATTTTGAAGATGATTTGAATCTTTTTCCTGCTAAAAAAGCACAGAGGGAAAACTGTTTTAAGAATCCCTTCAGCTCAATGAAATATTTTTCCTAACAGAATCGGCTTGCTTGCTAATAAAGGTGTGGCAGGAGAGTTCCCAGTATATTTAGAAACTTTTAGGAGTGGTATAACAAAAGATTGCTTCATATAGGTAGCGTCATACAAGGTTTCCCTCAGTATTACCCAAGCAAATGTAGTCTGTAAACAAATATAAATCATTAATCTTCTTGACAACAGAAAATCCTTTCCCAGTGTTCTGAGTCATTTTAGTGTGATCAGACATTTTAAATGTGTTGAGCTCAGCAGGTTTCTAAATAGCAATTAGGATATTTCCAAATGATTGATAAACACGAAATACTGGTAGTTAACTCCATGACAAAACTGAACTTGCATTTGTTAATGAATTTTACATGCAACTATGCAAAAAATTACTCAAGGAGCAAAAACTCTAAAACCTGTGAAGGTACTCAGATACTGTGATGATGAACCTAGCGTGAATAGTCAGACTTTATGTATGTGAGGTGTCTGCAGGGATATGGAAGATTTATTACAATAGTCAACTCTGATCATAATCTTTTTCAAAAAGAGTCATCAGTCTAAATTAACTATACAAATTATAAAGATTGAACTACATATTTATTCATAGTTTTTCTAGCCACATGGTATGCCATGAAAACCAGCCTCATTAGAAATCTGCTTGTGCTGTATCCTAAAATTGCTTTTGCTCTAGATCTACAGTGCAAAGAACATGTTTAAACATGGTTGTGGTCAAACTGTTATCATCTTTTTTTCTGTGCAGAAAAAAAGAGGCACGTTAATTCATGTTGAAGAACTATATTTTGCACTTGAAAGATACCAAAGATAGATGTACTTCAATGGCAGAACTCAGCTAGAATTTTGCCTGCCCTTCAGACAAGATTGTAACTTGTAAGAACACCAGCGTACTAAATGTGGGTCTCTCTCACATGATAGGGTCAGTAGTAAATACAGCAGGCTTTTATCTAACTTCTAAAATGATTTATAAAGCTTTTTGAGTGTATTTTGCCCATGGATGCCTTTACAAAGCTCACTGTCTTTAACAGTTTCTAAAAGACAGTTACTGAAAATACATGTAAAGACGTGGACTGTATATTTTGTGTTTCCAAATAACCTAGGTCTAGCCTAATGGACTATATGTCTTCTCTACCACTGATAAGGTCAGGTCAGGTCAGCACTCAGAGAAACCTTTTATAAAAAATTAAAGCTACAGTGTTGATTCATTCATTTGAACCAACTTAACAGTTTTGAAATTAATTCTGAAAGGGACGTATACTTACTCCAGTACATATTCAACACTTGTGCATATAATATATTGTAATGACAAATGATCATTTCCATTTTGTCAAATGTTTAGATAAACATAGTCTGACAAGAACACGTGTGGGCCTGCTGAAAACCTCCTTTTAAAGGTCTGGCAGGCAACAATCTTCCCCAGGAGACTAAACAAAGCTGCCTATAAAACTGTCTGTTTTTCCTAGTCTGCAGTTAAACACCCCTACAAACATTAACTTCCCACCAGGCATCTGCCCATCTTCATGCTCTCTTCCCTCTGAGGGACCTTTTGTCCTCTCAGGTAACAACCGAAATAAAGGTTTCAGATTCAGATTCTAACAGTTTCACCAGGTACAAAACCAGCAATGCACTGAATAACAGCCATAAAACACTAACTACAGAGCTGTGCATGCTAGTGAGCCCAACGGCCATCAGAACAAGGCTCGTGGTGGCCTTTTTCCCAGGTACCACTTGTCAGAGCGATATGTGCAGAACTACAGGAGCGACATAGGAGCAACATAGGAGCTTTGCTCAGCTTTCTTTTGTTTTGGAGGGAGTGCTCCTCCTTTCCTCCCATCATGTGAGTTAGGAATCTGCCCTGAGTCAGAAGCATCCATGCAGGTACAGAGAACTCCTCAGCTTTGCTATTGCTCATTTTAATACCACAGAACCCTAGCCATGCTATTTTTGCACTGAGGGGCTTTCAGAGTTTCTGAGACTCTAGAAAATACTACTAAAGAAATGCTGCTTCTCCCTTCCCTGTGTGTGTGTACGTGGAAAAGACAGCATTGGTTCAGATTGAAATTGTACAGGAACTCTGCAAAAGGTCTACTTTAACATGCAAATAAATTTCTCTTGCTCTTGTGACACACTGGAAAGATTTCATTTTTGTGGCATTACTATCAATTAAAGCTATTTGCGTACAATCACCTACGCCTCTGCTTGGGTGTGGCCTTTTACATCTGGCCAGTAGAAGCTTGCAATCTGATGACTGAGATGCTTACAGAAGACATTATTGCCCGACATTTAACGGGAGACTTCTGGTCCAAGCCTTGCTTGTCTGTTTCTGAAAAGCAAGAAGGGCACTCTCAGCAAAAGAGCAAACGAAAAAACATGATTACAGTCCTTGTGGTTCAAGCACAGACTATGGTGACTATTAACCAGTGGCTTTCTTTGTTCGTCTTTACTCTGTAAAGTAAAGTATTTGTCTTTACTCTGTAAAAATAGCAGAGGATTCAGCAGTTCTCACACTTTATTTTCTCACTTTTCCCTCCCCTGTCCACGCATCTTTGCACAGTGTATCTTGTGGGGAGAAGTAATTGCTAGTGAGCTGCTGGCAGCAAAGGAACAGAGTCAGCAGGGGAGAACGTTAGGGTGGGGAGCCTGGGACACAGACAGACCATAAAAGGGATTGAGGGGAGGGAGGAGGAAGACAGAAGGAAAGAAGCAGCAGGATGCAGGCAGCGCCCAGCTCCATGGCTTTCAGCCGTGCCTCACAGAGGAGGCCCCTGAGCATGACACAATCACTATGAAGTGCTGCAGTTTGACTCAGCAGCTCCCAGCAGCCAGGGGCTCCTTCTGGTCCTTCTCCATGCTGCCTGCCTACTCCCTCCAGGAGAGCCCCCCTTCACAGATCCACTTCACACTTTGCCCCCTCCAAGCCCCAGCCACCAGTCCCATCCTGATCCCAGTACCTCCAGGAGAGGAGCTGAACTCCTTCTACTGCTATTATAAAAGCCCGATTAAAGGCTGATCATGCCACCAACCTTTGGACTGAGGGTGGTTAAAGAAGAACAAGAAAGCTTTACTCTAAGCTCCTTCTACAAATATGCTAAGTTAGAATAAACTTCCCGTTATAGATTTAAGTCTGCTGTTGCACCCCCTAACCACTGAAGTGTCAGCAATGTTTCACCGAAAGTCTGTATTGTCAAAAAACTTTTTCTTAGTTTTCTTGCTTTTTAAAGGACTACAGGTTTTGTTAATAAAGTTATTGTGCTCATAAAATATATCTGGATGTCCTTAAGGCACTCGACCTGGGACGAAATCATACAGAAGTGGTAGAGAATGAACTGGATTTACAAACTTCCATGGGTAGCAGTTGATGTTATTAATGTGGTATCAGTGAGCGCAGCTGTATCTAGCAGAGTCCCAAAGGTCTCAACTCATGGGCCAAAACTATTTAATGGTTATATAAATGTGACAATTATACAAATTCTAGTTAAGTTTTCTGCTGATAAAAAGATTGTTTTGCTAGCAAATAATAAGGACAGATTACCAGTAGAATAATTTGAATTGCTAGATCAGAAGATCCCAGCCAAATAAGATATATTTCAATACAGTTAAATACAAAGTAATGTTGGTTTTGTGGAACCAATGACACAAATCATACTTAGGGATTGAAGGATTCTAGGAAGGATCTAACAGCAATAGTGAATAACCACCCCAGCATTAACTTTCAAAAATGCTACATATAAAGAGAAAATGTACTCTTTGAAGGTATAAAAGGAGAGTATTGCATAAGGCAAAGAAGTGGCCATACCCGTCCCCATACTAGTAAGGCTGCTGCAAACTCGTGCCTGGCTGTCCCAACACCACAGCAGTTCAAGCGCCACACCTAACACAATAATACATGAAGCTTGCACTGATCGCACCCAAGCCTTGCACCCCCTCTGCACAGCCTTCTGTGAGCTGCAACCCACAGATCTCACCACCTCAACTTTGCTTCCCTCTCTGGGCCTGAAAAATGCAACTCATCCGTCATGTCATCCCTGTAGACTGCACCCTTCCTTTAGCCTGCCAGCTGGTGCTCCTATCTCTTCACAGCAAGTGCTGATCCCAAATTAAGCTGTTGTGTAGATGGAGTTTGGGAAGAGAAAAGACGCGTGTACTAAAGGATAGTGCCAGGAGCCCATCCATGTCCCATGTGGAGACGGAAGGGAAGCCAGAGCACCCTGGGGACTCCAGCAGTTGAAGTTTGGAGGCAGATGGTTTGGAGAACAGGAGCTTACTGAGAGGAGAAACTAGCTCCCAACCCCCACCAATTCCTCATACCAAAAGGCATAAGAGCATTGCTGTAAGTGGCAATTTCATGTCACCTTCTGTCACTAATATGAAAGGCTTCAGTGGTATCAGGGGAATGGTTCACCTGCGTGTCACACAGCCAAGGCTCAACGCTATCACCAGGGCCCTGGACAGGTGGCACATCTAACGCTCCTTGCTAGGGGCTCACCTTGTATCCTTTAGCCGATTTAAGCGTTTTATTTAGCCATGCCGGCACTTCACGCAGAGCTCCTAGGGGGAACTTCGCAGCCCCTGTGAGACAGGAGGCCACACCAGCGGCCCAGTCGTTCCCAGGGAGCGACGCTGGCAGGTAGTCGCTGACCACCGGAGGGCCGCGGACACCGCGCCGGAAGGTGAAGGGGCCTCAGGGCAGGAGCCGGCAGAGCCGTCTTTCG